AACACATTCATAACGTCCAAATTAAGGACCAAAGAAGCGAAAATCTGACGATTTTGGGCAAATATAAGATTTAAAAAGATCTATACTTATCATTTCTTTATATTTTCATTATTTACGTAAGTGAAAAATTATTTTAAAAAGAATTATGAATAGTATCTGTTTTCACTCATTTCCGGATAACAGCGGCTGTCCGCTCAGTAACATGAAGAGATACCTCCGTTTTCGAAAGCTTCGTATGAATAACACGTTCGTCGAAGAAAGCTTGTTTGTTCATCTACACGCTCGTAACATTGCCTGGAGTCTTTTCGTTGCTATAACATCAGATTTCATTGGATAACAAATTGTTTCTAACGACGCTTTCTTGCCGAAATCTGATACAAGGTTCATGATTGGTCAAATTTGAGCACGTGACTTGAGGCAGGCAATCAAATTACAAATCCTCGTGTACGATGAATTTCAGATTTTTACGAAATATTTTGGTTAAATTGTGTTATTCTGAACGTTTTAAGCAAAATATTTCGCGATCTATATTAAAAATATGGAGCTTCGTGGATGTATCATTTTAGGTTACAAGCTGTGACAAAGATTTTTCATGCATATATTTTGGCATTGAACATTGTGTCCGAGCCGAGAATTAGAGGCGACGAAAGCCGAGATGTCATTTGACTTACATTAAACGCGATCGCATGAAAAGATGGAAATAATTACTTAGCTGTAAGTTTGACCACTTTGAGATATATTTTTGTTGATTTTATTTATCACTTTGTATAACATATTTAAAGATTTGCTTGAAACGTCTTTGTTTTGCTCTTTGACATGTTCGATATGCACCCGTTGCCGAAGTGTGAGTCCGATAATTATATTTTCAATGACATTGCGGGAAATAGTGAATAACTTTTTAATCTATCGATAAAAAATGATAAATTGAAATAGAATACGTATTTCAGACATTGTGAGATGTGATAGATTTAATAAATGAATGGTATGACAGGTAGGTTCTTAAAACTATATACTATTTTGACGTGACTACGGCTTGGCCGGTTAACCGGCCTACGGACCCCAGGGACTCGATACTTCTTGGCCGTTTTACTCGCCTACGGCGTTGAAAGAGTTAAAACACATTTAAAACGTATTTGTGATAAAAGTTTATTACAAAAAACAAGACGTACATATACACGTCTTTGAAAAAAACGTATGGTGAAAAATCGAGATACAGCACCTCACAAATCGCACACCGTATCGTATGGAGTGAATCGCGATGCATCGGTGTCCCGGGATATCGTTTCAGCCCTAATATTGTATCATATAAAGCCTAAAAAGTAACGACAACCGGGCAAAAGCGGCTAGTTGTGGCAATGTTGTGGTAGCCCGAACATGGGGCGGATTGACCTTGGCTTAGTTGAGCTTTGGATAAGTTAGTTCTCTGGATGAGGTGTAATTTAGTTCCGTCGTAAAAGACAATCCGCGCTTAGAATTTCGATCCCGAAAAGTGTGTTCTGTTCTATCTTGTATTTGGGGTAGTGAGTAAATAAAGGATTAAAATACTCGGTAGTTTTACAGTGTGAGCAGTTTATGTAGGTGAGTTAGGTAAAGGTCTTGTTGTTTGTGTTAAAAAAACTTTTTTGATGTTTCTTTGCTTGTGTGTTCCTATTAAGAATTGAACGTCAGATTGGATGGGTTCATTGAAGTGTGAACGATTTAAAAGCGCTGGTTAAACTGTGTGAACCTCCGAGCTTCAATGAACCCATCCAAAATGACGTTCAATTCTTATAATTTCATACTTTGTAGTTTACAGGTCTCGCCGAATAATATCGTAACAATGTTTGCTTAAATTTGAAGTCCTCTGTTTTCGCCAAAGAACATTGCATTAATGGTATTATGTCGGTATTTGCCGGCTCTCAGTCACATACTTTTCCCCCACTCATACTCAGTTACGCAAAGAAAAATAGTTCTTTGAATATATACAACATAATCTAGAAATATCAAATCTTAAAAATAGGCTACAGGAAAGTGAACAAAAATATAAACATAACCTCGATGCACCGAGGCGATGTCAACCTTCAAGCGCGGATTTATATATGACGTCGAGTTTGTAAAGAGGTGCATTTCGAGTCGAACGGGAGCATGAGGATGAAATTTATTCTAACTGCTGTTGAAAATGAAGTTTATGCAGCAGTTATGGAAAACACCCCGACGCGTGAACTCTCTCATTACCTTAGCAAATTGGGAATATCACCGATTTATAAATGTGTTGCTTGTGTTTAGATAATCGCAAACCCATTCGGACGATGCGGAATGGACTGGTGGGGATTGAACGGAGTGCTCTGAAACTTGTGTGTTTTGTGTTAATTTTCAACGTCAGGGTGTGTTGTATTTGGAGTTTTGGATTTGTCGTGTGAGCTGTACTGCTTTGCTTAGCTGGTGTTTCTTGTCGCATGAGATGGACCTACGGTATGACCTGATGCCAGCTTCATTTCTGTGCCCCGTCATTCCTCATGTGCTGCCGCTTCTCGGCCTAGAACGCATGGAGTATGCCGGCCAACAATAGTTATTCCGTCTACGAATATTTTCTCGTCTCAGATGACCAATCGGTAAAACGGGTAGGCAAGTTCTTATTGTGTTTTTTAAAAATTCAAGTTTCTTTCCTTACCTTTCATGTTTTATGGTTTCTCAAAACATGATATATTTTCCCCCGATACGATAGTGAATCGGGTTTTAGTTTGGGATTGATCAGGAGCAGTCGCTTTGATCTACGTCAGCTGCCACAACTGAGCAGGGTACAACATTGTTTTCACTGGTGTTAGATTCCTGTCATTTCCGAAAACAAGGCATCAAAGTCAGTATCGCTCTAAAAATCCATTTCGTTCACCTTAGTAATTTTACAGAATTCATTTTCTTCACGTGCGTTATTAGTATTGAAAGATCGCCATTCCATATCCACATCACCGTCAGGACAATCCATTTTGTTTCATATAGCAGCTAGACGACATTAAACACCAGAACCAAAGCATTTATATTTAAATCATAGGAAATGTTACAAGACAAGGCAAAAATACTAAATTAATTATATCCCTGATAAATGCAGGGATTAAAAAGAAAATAGAAAAACAAGTTGATTGTAAACACCGATCGAGAATTCGGGGAAACCCCGGAAAGTAGTTACGGCAAATGTTCACACGATCAATTTCACACAAAAAAAAAAAAAAAATCACATCGTGTGAACTTTTCAGTCCATTCACAGGAGTGTGAACTCCAAATATCAGATCACGTGACTACCCATTCAGCCAATCAGCATGAAAGAAACAGTGTAAACTTTAAAGTATGAACTTATTAGATTATGTATTGTTTATATTGTGCCCAAGCCCATGAATTAAGGTTAATTTGATTTTGCTTATGGTGGATAGAGGTAGAACCTCAACGTTTAAGTGAGTTGTTGAATGAGATACCAGTTCTTGTACCCAGGGCTATTTTTTTTCCGTTTAGATTAGGTTGTTAGCGTTTCGAACCTGAGCTTCGAAGTCAAATTTGGCTTGTGTAAAAGTTTTATACACTCTTCAAAAAACGAAACGCACAGGTGGTATGTAGTTTATTGAACCTGACTACACAGAAAATCCGGTATATAAATGGATATATGTTATTGGAAAATGTTCGTGGCCTGATATTCGACAAACGGTGCGTCAAAACGGAGCCATTGTCGATTTGCAATGTCTTAAACGGCATTGTTTTCACACTTGATCAAAAATGTCAGGGAGGAAAACAGTAAAGCAAAATGCACGTGCACGTTATGGGATTCGTAACTCGTGGTAGTGGCTATACAAAGGCAACCATAAGCATCCCACTAAACAGCATTCACATGTTCAACTTGACATCATGGCTGACTGAATCCAACACTGTCAGGGACACATGCACCCAAACAAGGAACCTTCTGCTTCCAATCCTCCTCCGACGGTGTTCTGTTGGGCTTCAGTTGGAGGTGGAATGCATTCGAATTTGAACAGTTGACATTCCGACCGCTATACCCTTCCAAACTTGCATTGTATACAGTAATTTATGAAGTTTCACGTGTGGTGTAACAGTTACTTTTCTGTATTGGCATGGCTAAGTTTTAATGATTCCAATAATCACATATGGGTTTATTTTTGTAGGAATATAACTTGCATTTGGGTAAATATTTGTAAAACAATTGACTTAGTTATTAATCACCATCAAGATTGATGTAAAAAAAATTCGTTGTTTTACTATCATTATGTGTAGTTAGTTGTGGGGCTGGACAAAGATTTTCTTTGTTTGCACTGTTGTCAATATTTACCTTGACGTAACCTTGACACTTCGACCATACTGAAAACTGTTTTTTTATGGCCTTTTCGTAAAAAAAAGTAAAGCAATTTGGTACATGTGTAGTTATTATATAGCTTAACATATATGTTCCGTTTGTTTTCACCTTGTTTGACCATGCTCTTATATTCTCACACAATGCATATTTGCTTGAGTAAACTGTTTCTCATCTAAAATTGCCAAACTGAGGAAGTTTGGCTTATATGTTTCTCCTTACAACGACATACATTTTTTTCAATTCGTTAGATCTTAGTCTTCGTTTTAAGTATGTATGCAGAAAATATCGGATTATCATTGGTGACAGTAGCTTTTGTTCTTTGTCTGCCTTTGGTTTTGAAACTGTTGACTACATATCCAGGTGATCTTTCAGTCTTAAGTAAAATATTGTGTCCATATCGGCCTTAACAATATGGCTCCAAACCTCATCTTATCTTATCTTAACGAATCCTTATTATTCCCAAATGAATTTGTTTGAGAACTTTTAAATGCATATGAGATATATTAACTATTATCTTCTACTTATCCTTCTTGATCTTGAATGCATAAGTTCTCACCTAAACGTCAAATATATTAGTATAAAATAAAGCAGTATCAAATACTGTTAGCCTCCAAACAGTGCACATAAAAACATTGAATGTCCAACAATATGCTAAGCAAAAACTTACCAAGTGTCGTCACCAACTGCTTATTGTCCAGAGCTTGTTTTCGTACAACGGCCAAGTCAGCTTTCAAAGTCGCGACTTCTGAGATTGTCAGACTGATATTATTCTTTGCCGTGTGAACATCTGCCGACACCAACTGTACATCTTGTGAGACTTGTGTCAGTGAGTGCTTGTTGTCCAGGGATTGTTTCTGTACAACGGACAGATCATTTCTCAAAGTTGTGACTTCAGTGCTCGTCACGTTTAGATTCTTCTGTGTCATATGCAGACCTGCAGAAGTTGTATTCATGTCTAGCTCCAGCCTTTCAACTTGTTGTGATGTACGGAGTGCCAGCGCGTTTGTCGATTGGAGTTCCATGTTTTCTACCACCTGCTTATGTGTGAGAAGCTGGACCATAGATGACGTATTTTTAATTAAACTATCCGCCTCCCTCTTTACATCATAAACAGTAGAGTTTACCAGACTAAGCTGTTTGTGCAACATCTTGACATCCGACTGAACTGCACTTACCTGTGCTGTGTTAAGTTTGACTTCGTGGCTGATTGAATCCAAGACTGTTAGGTTTACTTGAGTATTAGCATTACTATTACCCCGTTTCATGTCATTCACCTCTGCTTTCAACACAGCGAGGTCATTAGATGACACCCGCAGTTCCGTCTTCAGGGACACCACTTCATCTTTCAGAGAAGAAATCTCAGCAGCTGCCTGTGCCTTGTTGGACTGTAGATCTGATTGTAGTTGCACAGTGGTTGTCTGAAGGCCGGTCACAGTCTGCTCGAGGAGGGTGACGTGGCTTAGAAGGCTTGAAAGGTCTGTACTACCGTCCGGTTTTGTCATAGGCAGAATCAGTCCAGAGAGAGACCCACTCAGTAATATACAGAGAAAGAAAACGGCCACATACATTATGCGTGTATGATGGCTGACGAAGTCACTTTGAAAACTTCTATACGCCTCTCTTCATTTATCTATAGTAGTGGGTCATGTGAACAGTGCATCTGCAACTGTTCGAGATGACATGTAAAACATGATAATCCAATTCATGATTAGATTACCTGGGATCAGGTGACAGCAAGCAATCTAAAGGCCGCAACAAGCGAATGCATCAGTCATGTCTATGACCCCACGAGGAACCGGGAAAGAATGTGTTCCACAGCACCATTCCTGTGTTGTCGTCTGCGGTTATGTACACATATAATACTGTCCTCACGAATAGTATAACAATAGTTTTATTGCTTGCAAACAGATAATATTTATGATATTTATGTTCTGTGCAGTGTACAGTGTTTTGCATCATGGTAGAAAATCTTTGTCTGTTGTAAATAAATTTGTCCGTTGTGTAAGAAGGATGAAGTCGTGTTGTCAATATCTGTTCTATGTGGTTGCATTGGGATAGCCAAGTGGTAACAGTGTTGGTTCGCACGGAAAAGGTTCTATTCCAGTATGGGTGCAATGTGACGAGCCAAGTCTTGGTGTCCCCCGCTATGATACGGGTTGAATACGGGAAAAGCGGCGTAATGTTCACACATCCATCCCACTATGGTACCCAGACTTTGGATATACTTGGAAACAAAGCCTTAGACCTTGCCGCTTTGGTAAAACTCACTGGCCCTGGTATGGTTTAAATGCAGGAGACCAACCACAGGTTTCAAAACACAATAACATTTGCTGGTATGTGACTTACAATTGATTTGGTGACCGCCTCGCCGGGGACACATGTTGTATGTTGAAGCAAGCGTAAAAGTTCTGGTGTCTCCCGCCGAGATATTGCAAAAGGTGGCATTAAATAATATCCATACGTACATATCCACAGCCAGGTTTCCTGTGTACATTTAGCCCAAAACACCCACCCACCAACATTACGTACTTTTCACTGACTAGTGCTCTCAATGGACGTTCATCAGCATAATATTGTGTACAATTGTGTTTAAGCAGGCCTTCACAGATGGTATACCCCGTCACCAAAAGGAGATGGGGTGTTTAATAGGAGATGGCCATCTGGTCAAACAGCTGATTAGCATGACAAATGTATTGTCAAATGTACTTTTCTCATGAACTTGGGAGGATCTTCATAGAACAATATGTACAGTTCATGTTCAAGAGAGTTATGTCCCCTTAATTCTCTTATCACAACTCGCAACTTTCCGTAATTTACAAGGTGTTCTGGACACTTCAGGCTTTCCTTCCAAATCAAGATGACTCGCCGTGATAAATTCTGTATACCGAGTTTGTCTTTTGTTAAATTGAAAATTTTAAGAAGTTGTTAAATTTGATTATGTCTATTTAACCATCTCTCATTCCTGCAACAGTTTGTGAAAAGTAATCTGTGCCGGGTAAGTCTTTTTGTAAAAATAAACTGACGTCCAAAAGAAACTTTACCAGAGTTTGAAATCACTCTTGCTAAAAAAACAACAAAACACACATGCATGAAGTAAAGTGTATTGAGAAGATCAATATATCAACATAATCAACTCTGAAAATGACAGTTTCTTTTGGACGTCAGTTTATATGGGTTCAATGAAGATTGAGGTAAGAAATGAATTTGCAACTACATGACAACTACCATGTTTGAAATGTTATAAATGTGTGCCTAATTTTTTTTAAATTTATTTTTCAAAGATAAGATGTCTGAGATACCCATTGGTTGGTTGGTTGGTTGGTTGGTTGGTTGGTTTGTTGTTTAACACCGCGCTCAGCAATATTCCACCTATATGACGGCGGTCTGTAAATAATCGAGTCTGGACCAGACAATCCAGTGATTCATATCATGAGCATCGATCTACGCAATTGGGATCGATGACATGTATCAACCAAATCAGCGATCGCGAGCCTGACCACCCGATCCTGTTATGCGCCTTTTACGACAAACATAATCGCCTTTTAGGGCAAGTATAGGTTGCTGAAGACCTATTCTACACCTATCTTCACGGGTAAGATACCCATCAGTAGTTGTGGTTTATGTTATTTTTCTTTTTTAAACAGTTTTAAATCAAAACATTATTAAAAATAATAAAATATAATATCCTTAACTTAATCTATTTTCCACTGAAAATGTAGCATATGATAAAATCCACTGAGAGGTATAGCTTCTTTTGCTCCTCAGTTTAAACACTTAAAAACGTTAATCCGTCTAAACTCAGATGGAAATGCTATTGAAACTAGAATTCGATCCCACGACCTACAGGTTTCAGGAACTACAACAGTAAAATAGCCTTAACTACAACAGTAAAATAGCCTTAACTACAACAGTAAAATAGCCTTAACTACAACAGTAAAATAGCCTTAACTACAACAGTAAAATAGCCTCAACTACGTGTGAATTTCATCACCTGTCATCCTCGACAAGATAAGCATTTCCCAACTTGGACACTAATTTAACCATAGTTTGTGAAAGTCTGTCAAATGTCACAATGTGAAAAATCATAGATTATCTGTTCTGGGTTCAATAGACTGCTCTCACAGGTCTTTGTTCAGAGAAGATATTTCAGCTACGTGTCTGCTTGTACTCCTGTAATCGGCTTTGTTATCTGAAAGCACATAATCCAACACAGGCTACAGGTGCGAGTCTTTTTGCCGGTAGAATAGTGTGGCTTATGACAACCTGTAATCAAACAATAACAGCATAAAACCACAGTGCAGCTGTTTTATACAAATACATGTTCATACAATGCAACTATCCATTGCGTTATACATACGTCTATATTAAGTACACGAACATCTATGGTATAACGAGTATGGTGCTGACAAACCTCGAAACATAATCACCCGTGAAGATACTGGTTAGAATTGATCTTCAGCAGCCCATGCTTGTCGTAAGAGGCGACTAACGGGATCGGGTGGTCAGGCTCGCTGACTTGCTGGATGCATGTCATCGTATCCAAAATGCGCAGATCGATGTTCATGTAAATCACTGGGTTTTAATGACCGCTTCAATTTCAATGAAGTATAACCACCTGACCCAAAAATTGTAAATTATGGGATTTAAATTAATTTACGAAAAAGGCAAAGGATAGGTATGGTAAAGTAGGATGAGGAGAAGGTAAATACATGTATGTACTAGTAAGTAAAGAGGATACACTTTTAAAACACATTTTATGTTAAACTATGAAATGAAACACGTGGTTAACAAAGGTACGTAAAAGAACTGTAAATATGTGTTAAGAGTATAGCATATGAGGAGGTAAAATGAAATCATGTATCATAGGGCTGCAACAATACACCTAAGTCACGAAACGATACGTATCTCGATACTTACATCACGATTCGATACGTATCTCGATACGCTACGATACATATTGTGACAAGAGAAGACAAGAGATAAATGAATATAACTTAGTTTATTAAAATGAAAAATTAAATGAAAGTGAATGAATGTTCATGAGTCATAAAATATATACTGTAATCAGTAATTTAACTTAATAAATCATCTGCCATTTCCATGTAATGGCTAGCAAACACAAAAGTATCAGTCCTACATATTTGTGAGTTGTGAGTTAGTAAATACTAAATGTACCAGTGTCCAGTAACTAATGATTTGCCATTTTCATGTATAAAGGCAAAAAACAATTAAAAACAATTATAGCAACAGCCATGTTATGCAACATTTGAAAGGTCTAATCCTAGTGTTAATAAATATGAAAGTTATGTTTTTCACATTATTTAAATAATGCATTGACAACTTAATTAAGTTCGTTGTAAATTATAAAAATGTGAGCTAACACATTCATAACGTCCAAATTGAGGACCAAAGAAGCGAAAATTTGACGATTTTGGGCAAATATAAGATTTCAAAAGATCTATACTTATCATTTCTTTTTATTTTCATTATTTACGTAAGTGAAAAATTATTTTAAAAAGAATTATGAATAGTATCTGTTTTCACCCATTTCCGGATAACAGCGGCTGTCCGCTCAGTAACATGAAGAGATACCTCCGTTTTCGAAAGCTTCGTATGAATAACACGTTCGTCGAAGAAAGCTTGTTTGTTCATCTACACGCTCGTAACATTGCCTGGAGTCTTTTCGTTGCTATAACATCAGATTTCATTGGATAACAAATTGTTTCTAACGACGCTTTCTTGCCGAAATCTGATACAAGGTTCATGATTGGTCAAATTTGAGCACGTGACTTGAGGCAGGCAATCAAATTACAAATCCTCGTGTACGATGAATTTCAGATTTTTACGAAATATTTTGGTTAAATCGTGTTATTCTGAACGTTTTAAGCAAACTATTTCGCGATCTATATTAAAAATATGGAGCTTCGTGGATGTATCATTTTAGGTTACAAGCTGTGACAAAGATTTTTCATGCATATATTTTGGCATTGAACATCGTGTCCGAGCCGAGAATTCGAGGCGACGAAAGCCGAGATGTCATTTGACTTACATTAAACGCGATCGCATGAAAAGATGGAAATAATTACTTAGCTGTAAGTTTGACCACTTTGAGATATATTTTTATTGATTTTATTTATCACTTTGTATAACATTTAAAGATTTGCTTGAAACGTCTTTGTTTTGCTCTTTGACATGTTCGATGTGCACCCGTTGTCGAAGTGTGAGTCCGATAATTATATTTTCAATGACATTGCGGGAAATAGTGAATAACTTTTTAATCTATCGATAAAAAATGATAAATTGAAATAGAATACGTATTTCAGACATTGTGAGATGTGATAGATTTAATAAATCAATGGTATGACAGGTAGGTTCTTAAAACTATATACTATTTTGACGTGACTAAAGCTTGGCCGGTTAACCGGCCTACGGACCCTAGGGACTCGATACTTCTTGGCCGTTTTACCGGCCTACGGCGTTGAAAGAGTTAAAACACATTTAAAACGTATCTGTGATAAAAGTTTATTACAAAAAACAAGACTTACATATACACGTCTTTGAAAAAAACGTATGGAGAAAAATCGAGATACAGCACCTCACAAATCGCACACCGTATCGTATGGAGTGAATCGCGATGCATCGGTGTCCCGGAATATCGTTTCAGCCCTAATATTGTATCATATAAAGCCTAAAAAGTAACGACAACCGGGCAAAAGCGGCTGGTTGTGGCAATGTTGTGGTAGCCCGAACATGGGGCGGATTGACCTTGGCTTAGTTGAGCTTTGGATAAGTTAGTTCTCTGGATGAGATGTAATTTAGTTCCGTCGTAAAAGACAATCCGCGCTTAGAATTTCGATCCCGAAAAGTGTGTTCTGTTCTATCTTGTATTTGGGGTAGTGAGTAAATAAAGGATTAAAATACTCGGTAGTTTTACAGTGTGAGCAGTTTATGTAGGTGAGTTAGGTAAAGGTCTTGTTGTTTGTGTTAAAAAAACTTTTTTGATGTTTCTTTGCTTGTGTGTTCCTATTTAAGAATTGAACGTCAGATTGGATGGGTTCATTGAAGTGTGAACGATTTAAAAGCGCTGGTTAAACTGTGTGAACCTCCGAGCTTCAATGAACCCATCCAAAATGACGTTCAATTCTTATAATTTCATACTTTGTAGTTTACAGGTCTCGCCGAATAATATCGTAACAATGTTTGCTTAAATTTGAAGTCCTCTGTTTTCGCCAAAGAACATTGCATTAATGGTATTATGTCGGTATTTGCCGGCTCTCAGTCACATACTTTTCCCCCACTCATACTCAGTTACGCAAAGAAAAATAGTTCTTTGAATATATACAACATAATCTAGAAATATCAAATCTTAAAAATAGGCTACAGGAAAGTGAACAAAAATATAAACATAACCTCGATGCACCGAGGCGATGTCAACCTTCAAGCGCGGATTTATATATGACGTCGAGTTTGTAAAGAGGTGCATTTCGAGTCGAACGGGAGCATGAGGATGAAATTTATTCTAACTGCTGTTGAAAATGAAGTTTATGCAGCAGTTATGGAAAACACCCCGACGCGTGAACTCTCTCATTACCTTAGCAAATTGGGAATATCACCGATTTATAAATGTGTTGCTTGTGTTTAGATAATCGCAAACCAATTCGGACGATGCGGAATGGACTGGTGGGGATTGAACGGAGTGCTCTGAAACTTGTGTGTTTTGTGTTAATTTTCAACGTCAGGGTGTGTTGTATTTGGAGTTTTGGATTTGTCGTGTGAGCTGTACTGCTTTGCTTAGCTGGTGTTTCTTGTCGCATGAGATGGACCTACGGTATGACCTGATGCCAGCTTCATTTCTGTGCCCCGTCATTCCTCATGTGCTGCCGCTTCTCGGCCTAGAACGCATGGAGTATGCCGGCCAACAATAGTTATTCCGTCTACGAATATTTTCTCGTCTCAGATGACCAATCGGTAAAACGGGTAGGCAAGTTCTTATTGTGTTTTTTAAAAATTCAAGTTTCTTTCCTTACCTTTCATGTTTTATGGTTTCTCAAAACATGATATATTTTCCCCCGATACGATAGTGAATCGGGTTTTAGTTTGGGATTGATCAGGAGCAGTCGCTTTGATCTACGTCAGCTGCCACAACTGAGCAGGGTACAACATTGTTTTCACTGGTGTTAGATTCCTGTCATTTCCGAAAACAAGGCATCAAAGTCAGTATCGCTCTAAAAATCCATTTCGTTCACCTTAGTAATTTTACAGAATTCATTTTCTTCACGTGCGTTATTAGTATTGAAAGATCGCCATTCCATATCCACATCACCGTCAGGACAATCCATTTTGTTTCATATAGCAGCTAGACGACATTAAACACCAGAACCAAAGCATTTATATTTAAATCATAGGAAATGTTACAAGACAAGGCAAAAATACTAAATTAATTATATCCCTGATAAATGCAGGGATTAAAAAGAAAATAGAAAAACAAGTTGATTGTAAACACCGATCGAGAATTCGGGGAAACCCCGGAAAGTAGTTACGGCAAATGTTCACACGATCAATTTCACACAAAAAAACAAAAAAAATCACATCGTGTGAACTTTTCAGTCCATTCACAGGAGTGTGAACTCCAAATATCAGATCACGTGACTACCCATTCAGCCAATCAGCATGAAAGAAACAGTGTAAACTTTAAAGTATGAACTTATTAGATTATGTATTGTTTATATTGTGCCCAAGCCCATGAATTAAGGTTAATTTGATTTTGCTTATGGTGGATAGAGGTAGAACCTCAACGTTTAAGTGAGTTGTTGAATGAGATACCAGTTCTTGTACCCAGGGCTATTTTTTTTTCGTTTAGATTAGGTTGTTAGCGTTTCGAACCTGAGCTTCGAAGTCAAATTTGGCTTGTGTAAAAGTTTTATACACTCTTCAAAAAACGAAACGCACAGGTGGTATGTAGTTTATTGAACCTGACTACACAGAAAATCCGGTATATAAATGGATATATGTTATTGGAAAATGTTCGTGGCCTGATATTCGACAAACGGTGCGTCAAAACGGAGCCATTGTCGATTTGCAATGTCTTAAACGGCATTGTTTTCACACTTGATCAAAAATGTCAGGGAGGAAAACAGTAAAGCAAAATGCACGTGCACGTTATGGGATTCGTAACTCGTGGTAGTGGCTATACAAAGGCAACCATAAGCATCCCACTAAACAGCATTCACATGTTCAACTTGACATCATGGCTGACTGAATCCAACACTGTCAGGGACACATGCACCCAAACAAGGAACCTTCTGCTTCCAATCCTCCTCCGACGGTGTTCTGTTGGGCTTCAGTTGGAGGTGGAATGCATTCGAATTTGAACAGTTGACATTCCGACCGCTATACCCTTCCAAACTTGCATTGTATACAGTAATTTATGAAGTTTCACGTGTGGTGTAACAGTTACTTTTCTGTATTGGCATGGCTAAGTTTTAATGATTCCAATAATCACATATGGGTTTATTTTTGTAGGAATATAACTTGCATTTGGGTAAATATTTGTAAAACAATTGACTTAGTTATTAATCACCATCAAGATTGATGTAAAAAAAATTCGTTGTTTTACTATCATTATGTGTAGTTAGTTGTGGGGCTGGACAAAGATTTTCTTTGTTTGCACTGTTGTCAATATTTACCTTGACGTAACCTTGACACTTCGACCATACTGAAAACTGTTTTTTTATGGCCTTTTCGTAAAAAAAAGTAAAGCAATTTGGTACATGTGTAGTTATTATATAGCTTAACATATATGTTCCGTTTGTTTTCACCTTGTTTGACCATGCTCTTATATTCTCACAAAATGCATATTTGCTTGAGTAAACTGTTTCTCATCTAAAATTGCCAAACTGAGGAAGTTTGGCTTATATGTTTCTCCTTACAACGACATACATTTTTTTCAATTCGTTAGATCTTAGTCTTCGTTTTAAGTATGTATGCAGAAAATATCGGATTATCATTGGTGACAGTAGCTTTTGTTCTTTGTCTGCCTTTGGTTTTGAAACTGTTGACTACATATCCAGGTGATCTTTCAGTCTTAAGTAAAATATTGTGTCAATATCGGCCTTAACAATATGGCTCCAAACCTCATCTTATCTTATCTTAACGAATCCTTATTATTCCCAAATGAATTTGTTTGAGAACTTTTAAATGCATATGAGATATATTAACTATTATCTTCTACTTATCCTTCTTGATCTTGAATGCATAAGTTCTCACCTAAACGTCAAATATATTAGTATAAAATAAAGCAGTATCAAATACTGTTAGCCTCCAAACAGTGCACATAAAAACATTGAATGTCCAACAATATGCTAAGCAAAAACTTACCAAGTGTCGTCACCAACTGCTTATTGTCCAGAGCTTGTTTTCGTACAACGGCCAAGTCAGCTTTCAAAGTCGCGACTTCTGAGATTGTCAGACTGATATTATTCTTTGCCGTGTGAACATCTGCCGACACCAACTGTACATCTTGTGAGACTTGTGTCAGTGAGTGCTTGTTGTCCAGGGATTGTTTCTGTACAACGGACAGATCATTTCTCAAAGTTGTGACTTCAGTGCTCGTCACGTTTAGATTCTTCTGTGTCATATGCAGACCTGCAGAAGTTGTATTCATGTCTAGCTCCAGCCTTTCAACTTGTTGTGATGTACGGAGTGCCAGCGCGTTTGTCGATTGGAGTTCCATGTTTTCTACCACCTGCTTATGTGTGAGAAGCTGGACCATAGATGACGTATTTTTAATTAAACTATCCGCCTCCCTCTTTACATCATAAACAGTAGAGTTTACCAGACTAAGCTGTTTGTGCAACATCTTGACATCCGACTGAACTGCACTTACCTGTGCTGTGTTAAGTTTGACTTCGTGGCTGATTGAATCCAAGACTGTTAGGTTTACTTGAGTATTAGCATTACTATTACCCCGTTTCATGTCATTCACCTCTGCTTTCAACACAGCGAGGTCATTAGATGACACCCGCAGTTCCGTCTTCAGGGACACCACTTCATCTTTCAGAGAAGAAATCTCAGCAGCTGCCTGTGCCTTGTTGGACTGTAGATCTGATTGTAGTTGCACAGTGGTTGTCTGAAGGCCGGTCACAGTCTGCTCGAGGAGGGTGACGTGGCTTAGAAGGCTTGAAAGGTCTGTACTACCGTCCGGTTTTGTCATAGGCAGAATCAGTCCAGAGAGAGACCCACTCAGTAATATACAGAGAAAGAAAACGGCCACATACATTATGCGTGTATGATGGCTGACGAAGTCACTTTGAAAACTTCTATACGCCTCTCTTCATTTATCTATAGTAGTGGGTCATGTGAACAGTGCATCTGCAACTGTTCGAGATGACATGTAAAACATGATAATCCAATTCATGATTAGATTACCTGGGATCAGGTGACAGCAAGCAATCTAAAGGCCGCAACAAGCGAATGCATCAGTCATGTCTATGACCCCACGAGGAACCGGGAAAGAATGTGTTCCACAGCACCCCATTGATGGTAGTAGTAGGCGACCAAAGTGGGCGAGATGTTGTTGTCACTGGAAAACGTTCTAAAGCCAACACATTTTGCGTTTTGGTAATAAACGCAAGGATATCAGGACCTATTATTATTTTTAGACAAACCTCAAATCAAAGTTATCTTTTCAAACCACATCTAAGAAATGTTAAAGATACATGGTTAAATGTCCTTAATACACTAAAGGTCGTTTCAAATGCGAAATGACCAACACACTCTGCTCCATCTCAACAGAATATGGAATAGATCTAAACTTGATTATGACTGCTTCCACATGATCAACTCGTATTGATATATTTGATATCAAAAGACACTCGGGTGATATATATATATATATATATATATATATATATATATATCCACATATATATATATTTATATACACACACACACATATATATATATATCTCCACATATATATATATATTTATATATATACACACACATATATATATATATATATATGTGTGTGTGTGTGTGTGTGTATATATATATATATGGTTCAGCTCGCAAATCGTACATTCAACAGCTTCAATCCATTCACTATCGGAGTCTTAAAGTGTGGCCTGGGTGTATTCCAATCCATCTAATGCAGCATTTATCGCTGTTTTTAATCCTTTGTTAGCGAAGAAATATAACGCAATTCGAACACTTGGTATCCGTATTCAATCAAATACGCAAGGTGCAAATTTAAATTTTTCTTCAATTGCTGATTTCAAATAATCTGAAGTGCCACTGCGGCAGTCAATACAGACCGAAAACAATGCCGAATCAACGAAAATGGACATGGTTGATACTAATTCCTTATCATATCAACAACATATCATAAAAAATGTAACACTAATAAACTAGTTATACAAGCATATACATCGATGGATATAAAAATGGTGACAAAGTGTCTTACGATAACCTGATGGAATTTCCATTTTTTCAGCAGAGGCTAAAGGTGCCTTATTGGCCTTGCAACTTGTGACAAGAGAAGTTTCAAATTTCTTTCTGACAGATAATCATGCTTACATGAAATCAACAACTGTAAAATTGACCATCCCTTTTTAGTTGAAGTTTTGATGCCAAATAACCATTGTTTTAGTGTCATGCCTTAACTGATTAAAGTCACTTTGATGAAGTTAGAATACGAAGGTGTCACATTGGTGTCTTTACACTTATTCCTTTTTATTAAAGGGAGAGGACTCACCTTGCCTTATTTCTTGCCATTACCCTGTGTCTGCCAAAACCCTGTTCCTAGAATGTGTAGATTTTGCAATGATTCGTCAACGTTTTTATACTATTCAAACAATTGCTGATCTTTCTAATACCAGTTCTAACCACTAAATCTTAGCAATGTTGAAGGAAAATAAACTTAAAATTTAATATATTTTAAACGTCTGTTTCCTGTGGTAATAGACTGATGTTTTAGTGATCTTTAATTCTGCGTTTTTCAATATAAGACAACTAATCTTTTTTTCTTTCTTTGGGAGTTGGGGTGGCGGTGGGTTGTTGGCCTTCCAAGATTTGACATTGACTTGACCCGTGGTGTTTTGACTTTTCTTTACACATGTAATGGATAATATTTAACATATGCAGTATATCGCATTAATATAGTATTCACAACGAGTGAAATATACGGTGAACTGAACACCCTGACTATAAATAGACCGCAAGGTAGCGGTGTCTCAGTTTTGGACACCGACGAGTGTCGAGAGAAGCTTTTTGAAAACTGTACGTAAACAAGATCAGCAAAGACCGATAAACTTCGTATCAAATATCTTGGATACCACAATAACTCCATATCTAGATATAAGTCCATACATTTTCTGTAGTTTTATCCCAAAAAATCGAATCAGTCATGGTGAGCGGCGCTTATTTTGGTTGTGCTATATATAGCAAAGCACATGGTCATGTGTCATGTGACACATTCGATGCATTTGTGGTCAAAGTGTATTGTGGTTTATATATTTCTACGGCAGAACAGCAGCACAACATCAGTTTAGGTAAATGTAACAGTAACGATACATAAATACGAAATTGTTTAAAACTTTAATTATTACACAGACGTTTCAACTAGTGTTTAGGAAGAGGCCTTAATTGAAACACCAGAAGTTGAGCTAATATGTCTTAGCTTGACTACAATATATGAATATGTCAGGCGTATCAACATAACAATGCACAACTGATACAAAAGTAACGATATAAACTAGATGATTTGACTGACATTAGGCCTATCTGGATAATATTGTACTTACGATAAGTTTAATTATGGATGTCCTGTTCTTGCACATATTTTTCACACACAAAACTGAGTTTGATCATTTGATCCAGATGCATTTGTCCCATGTATTTTTTGTTCGGAGGATTTGGATACATTTCGCGCACAAGTTCCAAAACACATCCCGTTGTGTCCACATCAATCCTTCATCTGCTGCTACGTTTAATATCCGTTCAGATATTAGAAAGGCGTCATCTTGTTGACAGTCGGTATGTCATCTTGAAGTGTAACTTTTTCCACGATAAAGTCATCAATGTCATAAACGAAATGACTAAAGGCTCCTCTGATCATCTCGAACAACTCTTCCGTCAAATAAAGTGTCACACACAAATACATATTGAAAACAAGTGAACTTGCAAAGTACTTGCCAGTTGTAAGCAGCAATCCTATTCGGATGCGGTTACGGGGCGTGGTTGCCAGGAGATCGCGCGGTCTGCAAGGGGGCAAACAACAGTTTTGGAAAGTAATTAGAAGATATCCGCAGTGCAATCGAAAAATACCATGTACAGCATGTTTTTATAATAGCAGTCACGAAAACATTTCTTCAGTAATTTATTAATTCATCCCGAGGTGTTTTTAAAGAAATGTCATAAAATAACTTACTCTATTATTGAAAGACATTTTTTTTATAAATTTAATATTTTATTTCGTCCTCCTGCTCTCTAGTTAGTTAAGGTTTGAGAAACACATACACAAAATATTGATGGCCTTATGCTAATGATACGTGGCATGCCACAAAAGGAATCAACATGGAATCTGGGTCACTGGGACCCGCAAAGTTTCACGGATCGAGTGACTTTGGCATGAGGAGCTTTCGGACAAGTGTGAGTCTGCCCAAAACACATTGCTACTGGGCAATAAAGACATGTGACTGAAACGACAAAAACTTACGTTCACTTGAAAATATGTTTGACCATTATCAGGGTTTTCATGATCGTTGTTATCAAGATTCAAGATGTAGGCAAGACGAACACGACGAAAAAAACACAGTGTTGAAGTCACTGATTGCCATGTATATTGTGAGAAATGCTATTCATAAACTGCAAATATAGTCAATCATAGGATTACGTTTGGTGCCGTGATACATATTATGGTGAATGTTTAATAAACACTGCTGTTTTTCATCACTATAAACGTATTTCGTTCTAGTCCAGAATACAAGCACAGGAGGAGTAATTTGTGTTTTGGAATGGAATGAAAACATAAATCGTGGACATTTCCAAGTAACACTGTATGAAGATGTGTAGTTGACACATAGGTAGTTTTGAAACTAAAGACCTACGCGATTGTTCGAAAGCATTAGAATAGTTTGGTTGATATTTATTACAATTAAATATAACTTTACCTTGCGACCTTGTTGCCAAACGGCCCACGTGGGTGTGTGTTTAAATGTCGCCGCCCGTTTACGCACTTGGTTGGTTGGATTGTTGTTTAACGCCGCACTCAGCAATATTCCAGCTATTTGACGGCGGTCTGTAAATAATCGAGTCTGGACCAGACAATCCAGTGATTAATATCATGAGCATCGATCCACGCAATTGGGTTCGATGACATGCATCAACCGGAATCTTCACGGGTCACTTCCCAATGAAATTTGTGTTATCATGACGTCATTATGACTTGTCAGATCATCCGTATAAGCTCCGCCCACTGAGAGTGCGGTAGTGCCTACCGCAAATGCCGCTTTAAACAGTCTATGATGTTCAAGTACAAACTATCCAATTATGCGTACAAATATAATTATTTTAGTGAAGTTCATATAGATTTCTGGATATGTTGCATTTGTATGTTCCTGGAAAGTCCAGTCTGTGGTTAACTGTTGTTGCACCTCCTTCTTTTTCACAAATAATGGCCTTTATTTCATTTGAAAGTAAAGCGGGCTTTAGCGTTTAATAATGTACGATAGGATGGCGACAGAAATATGTTCAGTCTTTTTCCTATCCCTCCTAGCTTGTCGTGGGGCAACATGTTTTAAAACAGTTGAAAAATGTTCACTTCCACAGAGATGACCGTGGACGGACCATTCTCCGGAAACGCACGCTCCCAATGGACTGGCAATGTAGGTGACCACATCTTCAGAGGCAAAAAAGGATGATTAACTTCTGCGGAGGTTTTAACAGAAGGTACCTCCATGCGCTGGAGTAGCCTGAACCGTTTCACGTTTTACGATTAGAAGAAACCATGTCTCCGAGGGATTACTAGAGACCCTCTAGGCCCCCGAGGGACGTTCCCGAATGTGAGGGTTTACAATCTCTAGTAATCTCGAGGAGACATGGTTTGTCCAACTTATAAACCGACTCATCGCACAGACAACGTTTTTAATTAAATAACTGTAATAAAAACTCTCAAATGTATAATATAACCTGTATCGGAGATGAAATATCGCCTGCAGTCGTGAACTCGGTTCAGTGAAAGCGGTGACCTCAGCAAGTGGGTTTCGCAACGGTGCGAAATCTGAACGTGCGTCTCGTAGGCTGTTCGTAGTTTTTGTTCTATCAAGGGTT